TGTATTATATATGAACAAATACTAGAAAGTAAGAGAAATAAGCCCAAAAATATATAGAAGAAAATGTTTAAAAATAAGCAGAACTAAAAAAATCATCACCTGGATATTCTAGCATTCAATGGCTAACCTTTCACCAAGCATTTACTGTGCTGGTGCTGATCCCCACTTATAAATGCAAAATATGACTCTTGAGAGTCACTGGCCAGGGCCAGCACTGTGGCTTATGGGTAAAGCATTGCAGGCATCCCATTCGGGCGCTGGTTCAAGTCTTGGCCACTACTCTTCCGATCCAGCTCTCTGCTATGGCCTGGGAAAGTAGTGGAAGATGGTCCAAGTGTTTGGGCCCCTGCACCAACATGTGGGATATGGAGGAAGCTCCTGGCTCCTGGGTTCAGATTGGTCTAGTTCTAGCCATTGCAGCTACTTGGGGAGTGAACCACCTCTCTGACTTTCTCTCTCTCTCCCTGGGAGTGAACCACCTCTCAATCCCCTTACCCTCACCTCTCTGTAACTCTGCCTTTCAAATAAATAAATAAATCTTAAAAAAAAAAAAGACTCACTGCCACTAAAGTTATCTAATTTCCTTTACTGATGTTGTCTATTTTGTCCTTAGTATCTTACATTGAGGCAGTACACAAAAGCAAGTCTCATAACAACATCTAGACTCAGCACATGACCCTGGAGTGCTTGCTATTCATTACTTTGCTTTATACCCTGATCCCATACTCATGGATACTCCATATTTCTTTTTTTTTTTTTTAGAAAACTCTTATTTAATAAATATAAATTTCAAAACTACAACTTTTGGATTATAGCAGCTTTTCCCCCCATAACCACCCTCCCACCCACAAACCATCCCATCTCCTACTCCCTCTCCCATCGCATTCTTCATTAAGATTCATTTTTAATTACCTTTCTATACAGATGATCAACTTAGTACATACTAAGTAAAGATTTCAACAGTTTGCACCCATACAGACACACAAAGATACTCCACATTTCTCAGGGAGGTCATCCTCATCCATTTGAAACACTGGATAGGTCAAAAAACACCTAAAAGCAGTCACAGACCAGTGGGAGATGTCGTTTGGTCACATACACATACACACATCTGTGCTAAAAGACCTGGGATCTTTTCACACCTCAGAATTTGCCAGCCATGTGTGTCTCCCACCAGTTACTCCTGTCCGTGCACATGCATTCTTCTACCTCTCACCACCTTATCTGTTCTTCAAAGAATTAGTTTCTGCTTCACAGTTAACCTGGCATTGACTCTAGAGATAAGGAACACAAAGTTGTAGGAGACAAAATATCTGAGCCCCTGAAAACAATCATGATCATCTTAGTTGTTAGTTTATTTAGAAGTACACATTGCATTCGAAAAGAATGGGCAAAGAAGCCAATTTTCTTACTTCAAGCACACTCTCAAGTTTCTCCAACAGAAAGAGCTCTATTTTGTTCTACACACTCTGTGTTATGTAGTTAGTCCTGTACTCCACACCTGGGTGACAAGCTGCACACACTTGGCATGGAAGTGTGAATCCAATTGGTTGCCATTCAAAACAGGTCCAGCTAGAGAGTAGATGCTCAACGAATGTCATGCCTTTAATTGCATTCCAAAGGGGGGAAAACAGTTCCTTGCTAAGGAACCACAAGTCCATAATAACTCAGCTAATAAAATGCACTGTTTCTGACTTAAGAGGTTGAGTATCATGGATATGCCAAAATTTTCACTTACATAGTCCTCTGCACCAGTTTAGCCTGCAAACTGACAGCTCTCTGATATTCTCTCTCTCTCTGGCGCACACACTCTCTCTCTCTCTCACACACACACACACACATACACACACATACCTAGTAACAGTATTATCAAGACCAGATTTGCCCAATTAGAAACAAGATTAGTGAGGAAGACTAGAAGTAAAAAAAAAAAAAAAAAAAAAAACTAAACTAAAACTGAAACTAAAAGTTCAACCTAACTAGTGATTCAAGAACTTACAGATATTTTGGTTTATATTTTTCCTTTATAATCAAGTCATATTAATGTAAACTGAAAACATAACTTGAACAAACATTTCATTCATGACTAATTATAAAGCAGGCATTTCAAATCAGTGTTGAGCTAATGTTTTTAGAACAATTATTTAATTTTCAAGGTCCAATATCTGTCAAGTAAATCACCAATTTCCAGTTCGTTCTTATTTAATATAAAAAAATCTCATTAGTATAAAGCTATTTCACAGCTGTCTTTAATTTAAACCATAGTCAGAGTATGCAACTTTGGCATTTCCAAATCAAATGTTCTTTTTGTCAAAAGACCGAAAAACTTTACAAGTATACTGTAAATCATGAGATATTTTAATATTGATTGTTTAGTGAAAGGGATACTCCTTAAAGTTTAATTTGCATCTATCCAAACTGTGGATTTGAGATGAAAGAGATAAAGAGTTTGTTAGCCTGGGTTGGGAGCAGGGGTTGTTCTATGTTAAATATTGGTTGTTCTAATATGCAAGGTTCAGGTACGTTTTCACTCAGAATACAAGGATCTCCAAAAAGTTCATGGACATGCAGAGTCTAAAAAAAAATCTGTATTTGGATTTTTTTTGTACCAAAATGAACTTGTGTTTTCATTCCATTTTTCCAAAGGCTTTTTTTTTTTTTTTCATTTTATTTGAAAGGCAGGGAAGCACAGAGACAGACAGAAAAAGACAGAGAGGGGCCGGCGCCGTGGCACATGAGGTTAATCCTCCGCCTGTGGTGCCGGCATCCCACATGGGCCCTTGTTCTAGTCCCGGTTGCTCTTCTTCCAATCCAGCTCTCTGTTGTGGCCTGGGAAAGCAGTAGAGGATGGCCCAAGTGCTTGGGCACCTGCACCTGGGTGGGAGACCAGGAAGAAGCACCTGGCTCCTGGCTTCAGATCAGCACCGTGCCAGTTGTAGCAGCCATCTGGGGAGTGAACCAATGGAAGGAAGACCTTTCTCTTTGTCTCCTCTCATTGTCTGTAACTCTGTCAAATAAATAAATAAAATCTTTACCAAAAAAATCGCTTCTCAGCCTTTTGGCTAAGATCAAGTGTGTACCAAATAAATAAATAAATAAATAAGACAGAGAGATCTTCCATCCTCTGGTTCATTGTCCAGATGTCCGCAACAGCCAGAGTTGGGCCAGGCCAAAGACAGGAGCAGTGACTTGAAGTCCCATGTGAGTGGCAGGGACTCAAATACTTGAGCCATCATCTGCTGCTCCTCAGTGTATGCATTAGCAGGAAGTGGGATAGGAAAAGGAGAATCTGAGACTCTAACCAGGCATTCCCATATGGGATTGTGGGTGTCCCAAGCAGTGTCCTAACTGCTAGGTCAATTACCTGCCCCACCGCAAACTTTTTGAAGTACGTTTATATATGAAAACCAAAGACAACCGTAGAATGGTGAATACTATCAATCAGAAGAATGCTTTTATTTATTAATCTCTTTAACAAAAATAAGGTAGATGAGCCAAAAATCCCCTACTTCTCTTACTGGGACTTTGAAGGAGTGAGCAAAGACTAATTGTACTCTAATGGACAGGGTCTGGGGCAAGGAGATTGTAAGATGTGACCCCTAGATTGGGATCACAGTTTGTGACACTATCTCTCCCAACTTGAAAACCACAGACAAAACCACTAACATGAGATGCACTGAGTTAACTCCACCCAAGGTCAGAGAAAGCTTGATACATGAATCTTCACCTTGGGCTAAGGGAACTGAGTAAGCAAGGGAAGAGAGATCAAGCCATGCCCATCTTTGGTACTGTCATAACCTCTTTTTCTTTTCTATGCTTGATGTGTAAATAAGTGCTATTATAGTGGGCTAGTAAGAATGGAAAGTGGGGGCCATCGTTGTGGCATAGTGGGCTAAGCCTCTGCCTGCAGTGCCAGCATCCCATATGTGTATTGGTTTGTGTCCCAGATGCTCTTCTTCTTCTTCTTTTTTTTTTTTTTTTAAGATTTTATTTATTTTATTTGAGAGGTAGAGTTACAGACAGTGAGAGGGAGAGACAGAGAGAAAGATCTTCCTTCCGTTGGTTCACTCTTCAAATGGCCACAACGGCCGGAACTACGCCAATCCAAAGCCAGGAGCCAGGCACTTCTTCCTGGTCTCCGATGCAGGTGGAGGGGCCCAACCACTTGGGCCATCTTCTACTGCTCTCCCAGGCCATACCAGAGAGCTGGTTTGGAAGTGGAGCAACCGGGACCATATGGGATGCTGGCCGCAGGTGGAGGATTAACCTACTGTGCTACAGTGCTGGCCCCGATGCTCCTCTTCTGATCCAGCTCTCTGCGATGGCCTAGGAAAGCAGTAGAAGATGGCCAAAGTGCTTGGGCCTCTACACTCGCATGGGAAACCCAGAAGAAGCTTCTGGCTCTTGGCTTCGGACTGGCCCAGCTCTGGCCTTTGTGTCCATTTGGGAAGTGAACCAGCAGATGGAAGACTTTTCTCTCTCCCTCTCTCTGTAACTCTCTCTCTCTCAAATAAATAAATAAAATCTTAAAATAAAAATTGGAAAGGATTGGCCCAGAAGTAATTCTGAAAGACTTGTGAGGTTTGTTTTTTCTTTTGTTTTTTGTTTTTTTTTTTTTTGACAGGCAGAGTGGACAGTGTGAGAGAGAGACAGAGAGAAGGGTCTTCCTTTTGCCGTTGGTTCACCCTCCAATGGCCGCCACGGCTGGCGCGCTGTGGCTGGGGCACCGCGCTGATCTGAAGGCATGAGCCAGATGCTATCCTGGTCTCCCATGGGGTGCAGGGCCCAAGCACTTGGGCCATCCTCCACTGCACTCCTGGGCCACAGCAGAGAGCTGGCCTGGAAGAGGGGCAACCGGGAAAGAATCCGGCACCCCGACCGGGACTAGAACCCGGTGTGCCAGCGCCGCAAGGTGGAGGATTAGCCTACTTTGTGTTGTTTTCTGTTAATTATACTATAAATTAGGGAAAGGGAAATTATATATATATATATATATATAGTGGCAAAATGGCTCCCCTTAGAAAAATGTAGCATATTGTTATCAATCTCTAAGCTACCACTGTAACACTGTTTAAAAAGATTTTAGTAGCCTCAAACACATCAAACTAAAGACATCTAAGATCTGACACTGTGGCTTATCTACCTGAATAATGCCATTAGAAACAGAGCAGGCATGGCCACTTAAAAAGATCCTGTGTCCTCCTTTGCTGACTGTTGCCTGGATCAAAAACAAGACTTATACCAACCAAAAAATAGGGGAAACCATATTCTAAGTGTGGTTGCTGCTTTCTCAAACAGCTGGAATGCTGGGCCCATTCTTTTCATCAGAATACTTGGCAATTTGTGGAGACATATCACAGCTTGGGATAAGGTTCTACTGGCATCTAGTGAGCAGAGGCCAGGGACGCTGCTAAACATCCTATGGGCACAGGACAGCACTCCCTAACCAAGAATTACCTGGTCCAGAATGTAAAGAGTGCCAAAGTTGAGAAGTGCAGCTCTATATTTTCAAGATGTCTTCCTACATGGTTGCAGAAACTGAAATTTCTGGAAAAGTTTAAAAAATGAGACAGAGAGGAAAGGAAGAACTAATGATGGCACAGATGCAACTGCAGAAGTTCCTATCAGAATCTTTGAGCAGTTCTAGATGAAAACAAGTAGTGATTAGACTAAGAGTTTTGCAAAATCAGGTAGCTATACTATAAATTTGAGATGAAAGTTCAATCATTTGTCATCCACATGAACGGTATGCCAGGTCAAAGGCAATTCTCAGTGTTTAGATAGCAATCATAAGTATATGTAACAGGGCCCAGCGCTGTGGCATGGCGGATAAAGCTGTCGCCTGCAGTGCCAGCATCTCAGATGGGTGCCATTTCAAGTTCCGGCTGCTCCTCTTCTGATCCAGCTCTCTGCTATGGCATGGGAAAGCAGTAGAAGATGGCCCAAGTCCATGGGCCCCTGCACCTGCATGGGAGACCCAGAAGAAACTCCTGGCTTCAGATCAGCACAGCTCCAGCCATTGTGGCCAACTGGAGAGTGAACCAGCAGATGGAAGACCTCCCTCTCTCTGCCTCTCCTTCTCTCTCTGTTTAACTCTGCTTTTCAAATACATAAATAAATCTTTTTTTTAAAAAAAGTATATGTAGGGGCCGGTGCCGTGGCTCACTTAGTTAATCCTCCACCTGCGGCGCCGGCATTCCATATGGATGCCAGGTTCCAGTCCCGGCTGCTCCTCTTCCAGTTCAGCTTTCTTCTGTGGCCCGAGAGGGCAGTGGAAGATGGCCCAAGTGCTTGGGCCCCTGCACCCGCATGGGAGACCAGGAGGAAGCACCTGGTTCCTGGCTTCAGATCAGCGCAGCGCCAGCCGTGGGAGTGAACCATTTGGGGAGTGAACCAACAGAAGGAAGATCTTTCTCTCTGTCTCTCTCTGTTTCTCACTGTCTATTGCTCTGTCAAAAAAAAAAAAAAAAAGTATATGTAACAGAAATATAAACTAAGATATACAAAGACTCACATGACACATTGTCTATAAACTTATCTTGGTTAAAAAAAAAGTTACTTAAGGGGTCAGTGTTGTGGAGCAGTAGATTAAGCCATTTGCCAGCATCCTATATCAGAGTGCCAGCTCAAGTCATAGCTGTTACACCTCTGATCCAGCTCCCTGATAATCTGCCTGGGAAAGCAGCAAAAGATGGCCCAAGTCCTTGGGCTCCTACAACCCATATGGGAGGGATTAATGGAGTTCCAGGCTCCTGGCTTCAGCCTGGCCCAGGCTTGGCTGTTGCAGCCATTTGGGGAGTGAACCAGTGGATGGAAGATCGATTGATATCTCTCTCACTCTGCCTTTCAAATAAGTAACTAAATCTTAAAAAAAAAAAAAATTACTTGAGCTCTAGTTCCAGATGGCCTAGAATAAGCTCAGAATTAAGATATAATAATGGGGGGATGTTTGGGCAATAAAACTCAGAATTCTGGTTTAAATTTATTTGTTTGATTGTAGAGCTCAGATGTAAAGCATGACTCTGTAATACTTCCTTGAATTATTCCTTTCCCATTATAAGGAGTCACATCTTTCACTTTATAGTTTGGGTGAACACTTAAAAAAAAGTTGCAGCTGTTGCAATCCATACAACTGGGACAAAGCTTGAGAATTACTAACCCACACGTTTTGTTTGTTGGATATATTTTTCTCCCTAACATAAAAAAAGAGTTACACAGAGGTAGACTGATCATTTTTCTAATGGGTGGCATCTCAGGCAAGCATCTTTACATCTTCAAAATGAACTTTGAGTGCCTTGAGTAAGTTTTTTTTTCCATTGGTAAAGATAAATACTTTGAAATTAATTATAATCAAGACCTTGGCATTTTTCCATCTAAGACATATAACTGTTCCTTTGTTCAATATGGCCTCAAATGGTTTAAAATTTACATACATGTCTAGAATACAAACCAAAAGACAGAAGTAATCTGTTAAATATTACGCATGAATAGTATATATCTAGGTGATTTTTATTCCCTTCTATGTAATTTTGTGTATTTTGCAAACTTTCTACAAGGAGGATATATTATTTCTTTAAAGACTTATTTTATTTACTTGATGTGCTCACTTTGGCAGCACATATATTTTATTTACTTGAAAGACACAGTTACAGAAAGAGGTAGTGACAGAGAGAGTGAGGTTCATCCGTTGGTTCACTCCCCAAATGGCCGCAATGGCCAGAGTTGAGCCAATCCAAAGCCAGGAGCCAGGAGATTCTTCTGGGTCTCCCACATGGGTGCAGGGGCCCAAGGACTTGGGCCATCCTCCACTGCCCTCCCAGGCATATTAGCAGGGAGCTGGATGGGAAGTGGAGCAGCCAGGACTCAAACCGGCAACCATATAGGATGCTGGCACTGTAGGCCGGGGTTTTAACCCACTGTGCCACAGCACTGGCCCAAGAATATATTATTTTTATAATTAAAAAGTTTTAACGTATATATTCTATATATGCCAATAACTTCTGTGCAAATGCTCAGGAAAGAGATCAGGAAGAAATGAACTGAAAGTGGTATCTTATTCATTCATTCATGTTTCATTCATTCAATAAACACTAAGTAGCGACTGTACTGGGTATGCTGCTGGGGACTTGCCATGGTCAAGTGTTGAGAACTATTATCTCAAGGTGTGCACTTGTAGTGTTTTCCTCTCTTCTCTTTTATGCTTCTTGGAAGTTTATTGTGAATGCTTTTACTTTCAAAATGGTGGGCATTATATTTACTTTTAAGATTCTGATAGAATCACAGTTTAGAAAGGAGTGTGTTGCTATATCTCACTGTGTAAACCCATCCTAATACATGAGCTTTTAAGATGATCACTTATTTTTCAAGTACACTGGTATTCCCCATGAAGGATTTTCTCTGACCCTTGTAAAATTCATTTCATTAGCAAACAGATGTCATGCCTTTTAGAAAACAATTTTTATTAGCGAAATTTTATATTGCCTTCAACCTATCTTGATAATAATGTATACTGCCTTAGTAATAATGTATATTTTTTGAAAAGCAAATATTTTAGATGTGTTTATTTAGTATGTTATTTAAATATCATAGAAATAAATTTTTTAGTAACAAGGGTATTGGAGTAATAAAATATAAAAATATATAGTATAAAATGAATCTGAATTTACATAAATACAAAATATCTATACCATGTCTTTAGATGATTGAGATTTCTCTTTTTCACTCTTTCTCTTCTGTTTTTCTTCTGCTTGTTTTTCAAAATAATCTTTAAGAAGATGGTTCAGCTGTGGTTCACACTGGCTGGCATGTTGCAATCCATCTTTCCTTCCTTAAAAAGATATAAAACATGAGATAACTATTCTTGACTTTATGGGGGGTCTCCATGTTATTATTATGTCACTAATCTCCCTAAGTGGCAAATCTACAGCTGTTCTTGTCTAGGGCACTCTAAGAATTAACCCAAAGAAGTCCAATTTTCACTCAAAATGCTTGAATTAAACACATCTGTATTTTACCTTCACAGTGTTGGATCACACGTCTCCATAATTGATTTTTCCTCAGACAAGCTAAGTTTCCCACAATCAACAAATGCCTTCTTCCTCTGGTCAATGCAACGTTCATTCGTTTCTCTGAATCAATGAATCCTACTTGTTTTGTCCTTACGCAGGACAGAATAATGATCTCCTTTTCAGCTCCCTGAAAAGCATCCACTGTGGACACCTGCACCGCTTTAATTTCAGGATCGTTAAAATCCACTGCACTGAGTAAATGACACAGCTGAGGAGGAAAAAAAGAAAGAGGTCATGTAGGGCAGGGATCCCGAAGAACTAAGCTGCTGAACAGATTCAGAGTAACCATTTTATTTAACTAATAGTGGATACTTTTTAATGCTCTTTTCTGACTCACATGGACTTGACTGGATAGTTTCTAAAATGATAGGTAAATGACTAGATAATTATGAAACAAAATCAAAAGTGATGATTTATCTTGCTGAGTGACTCATTTGGATATGCTAATTTGGAGCTGAGAAATAATCTAATAAACAGATGAAAAAATACTATAAGGAAAAAGAAAAACTAGTTAGAAGTAATTGGCTCATGCGTACATTGATATCTGGTATCTATCCTAAATTTGCTGATAAAATGTAATAATAATGAAAGAACATTTTGGAAAACACAGATTCAATCCCATCTGTCCCAAAACACAAAGCATACACCATATTTTCTTCCCTCTAATTTGTTTATTTGAATTTTTTCCCAACAGCTGTAAACTGAATTTAATTAAACCTTGTTGGGTTTACACTTAATTATACAAAAAAAAAATCCAGGCCAAAAAAATTTGAATGTTTCTTTTTTAGTACATTAATCATAGTCCCAAAAGTTTTTCATGACCCAAACAAATCTACCAGCAAATGTAAAATCAAATATTCTAATATATAATTGTGATATTTAATATGTGACAAATACTGTAATATGTAATACAAACCTTGTACATCTGGGATTTGTATAATGTTATCACCCCAATCATAGAGCCCACTATTCCACTTGCAATCAGTGATTGAATCAGCTTGAGTGTAAAACCAGCTTCTGCCGCATTATGAAAGCTGTTACCTCTTTCAATCTGGAATAAGAAACAGATCCTAAATTACAATTCCCAGAAAGGGTATGGAAAGACCAAGTAAAATCAGACAAACAACAACAATAAAATTAAACAAAGAAACTAAACAATGTTGACTCCTATCAACAATAATGTTATTTTACCTGTTCCAGGCCTTTAACATTATAGAAACACAGGGTTGGCAGCCATTCCAGTAAAGGGCTCCTGTCTGTTTCTGAAATACCATTCATAAGCTTTCCTTCATAGAACAGATCATTAGCGATAGCGCTGATGGCAGGGTGACAGCGGTATTGGGTTCTCAACATAATGGGTTTGTGACCCTAAGAAATACAGAAAATACAGGAAAATAAGAATTTAAAACATAGTAATTTTTTCTCTAGGGAAACAAAAATGATGCTATTTTGAATAGCAAAAATATTGCTGTATTATTATAGTCTTAGGAGATAAATGACTACCAAGATGGAATAGACTACAAATAAAAATATTTTTAAAAACTACTAAAAAATATGTTCATGGTAAACTATTACACTAGGAAACTATAAAATAGAAAAGTTCAAATTTGAAATTTATCATGTAAGTTTGGTACCTAACATGTCTTTTCTTAAGTTACACTTTTGTTTTTTTTAAAGATTTCATTTATTTATTTAAGAGGCAGCATTACAGACAGACAGAGAGACCTTCCATCTGATGGTTCACTCCCCAAATGGGTGTGCTGGTCAGAGCTGGGCCAATCTGAGGCAATCTGAAGCCAGAAGCCAGGAGCTTCTTCTGGGTCTCCCACGTGGGTGCAGGAACCCAAGCTCCTGGGCCATCTTCTACTGCTTTCCCAGGCCATAGCAGAGAGTTGGATCAGAGGAGGAGCATCTGGAACATGAACCTGTGCCCATATGGAATACCAGAGCTGCAGGTGGAAGCTAAGTCTACCACGCCACAGCGCCAGCCCCTAACGTGATGTTTTCACAATCTATCTAGAGTAGGCCTAACACGAAATTGAAAACAAACTGTTAAAACTAGTAAGTGCTGTTGATAACTCATTCATGATATAATAAATTTCCTCCTTGGTAAAAGCCATTTTTATTCTGAATCTTCAGTTCTTAGTACTCTAGGGTCATACATTTGTTTAAATTTGCTTAAATTTGAGGTGCTTAAAATTGTCACAACTCTGACAAAACCTCCGACAAAAAAGTATTAGGTATAAAAATGCTCAGAGGATCATTATCTATAATTGAAAACAACTGAATATTCATTGTTAGAGAAATAACTAAATTATAGTATATATTCATCCAATACCATTCAGTGATTAACAATATTTGTGACAATGATGATTGCAAAGCTAATAACATAAATATATTCAATTATTAGACAATTACAATTCCCAGATTGGGCCTGGCCCAATCCTGGCCCAATCCTTGCTGTTGTAGGTATTTGGGGAATGAACAAGTGGATGGGAACTATCTGTCTTTCCCTTTCAAATAAACAAAAATAAAGCAAAAACTCAATTCTATTCTGCCTACAATCTCCTTTTATTTATTTATTTAAGAGGTAGCATTATAGACAGAGGAGAGAGAGGTCTTCCATCCACTGGTTCACTCCCCCAAATGGCCACGACGGCCAGAGCCGGGTGGATCCAATGCCAGGAGCCAGGAATTTCTTCCTGTGTGGTGTAGGGGCCTAAACACTTGGGCCATCCTCCATTGCTTTCCCAGGCCACAGGAGGGAGCTGGAAGGGAAGAGAAGCAGCCAGGACATGAATCAGCACCCATATGGGATGGTGATACCACGGGTGGAGGCTTAGCTCACCACAGCACAGCACCATCCCCCTAAAATCTCATTAGAGGAATTCTTTAGGAAATAATATCAGTTATGGAAGAAGAAATGTTTATTTGAGATTTAACAATTCCTTTAGTTTCACATCAGCTTTCCTTCCTGTTAAGAAAGTGCATACTTTTGAGTCCAAACAGCAAAATAACTCCTCAGGTGCAATTTAAACTGGCAACAACAGTAAAGTAGGTTTTTTGGCAAAAGTTTTTTTTTTAATTCTTTAGGTTGGAATATCTTAATATTCTGTTTATCAAAGTGTCTTAATTTAGATTACTGTATAAAAGTATAATTATAATCAGACATTTTTTCAGGCCTAAAAAGCAAGAAAGTCACACAGACTATTGGAATAGAATAGAAAGCCCAGAAATAAATCCTCACATATATAGTCAATTGATCATCAACAATGGTAACAAGACAATTTAATGAGGAAAAGATGGTCTTTATAACACATGGTGCTGGGAAAATGGATAGCAAAAACAATGAATTTGGACACTTCCTCTACACCATATAAATTAATTCAAAATTAATCAAAGACCTAAATGTAAGAAATAAAATTAATTATACAACTCTTAGAAGAAAACATGGGAGAAAGTCTTCATGACATTGGATTCGGCAACAATTTAATGAAAATGACACCAAAAGCCTAAGTATTACATGCAAATTGATAAATTGGATTCCATAGAAATTTAGAACTTCCATGCATAAAAAAGGTTAGTAAAAGGAATAGTAAAGGGTTATTATCAAGACAGCAAAGAAACAGCCTACTAAATGAAAGGAAATATTTGCAAATAATATATTGGATAAGGGGTTGATATCCAGAACAGATAAAGAATTTCTATAACTCAACAACAAAAATGGGCAAAGGCCTTGAATGGGCATTTCTTCAGATATACAAATTGCCTGTAAGCATATGAAACATGCTCAATATCAATAGTCATTACAGAAATCTCAGTGTGATACTACTTCACACCCAATAGGATGGCTATTACAAAAAAATGAAAGAAAAAGAAAAATAGGAAGGGTTGGTAAGAATGTGGAAAAGTAGAACCCTCGTGTATTGTTGTTAGAAATGAAAGGTAGTACAGCTACTGGGAGAAAACAGTTTAGTAACTCCTTAAAAAGTTAAGCATACAACGCCAGTGCTGTGGTGTTGCAGGTTAAGCCACTGCCTACAGTGCCAGCATCCCATACAGGAGCCGGTTTGTGTCCTGGCTGGTCCACTTCTGATCCAGCTCTCTGCTATGGCCTGATAAAGCAGTAGAAGATGGCCCAAGTCTTTGGGCCCCTGCATCCACATGGGTGTCCCAGAAAAAGCTCCTGGCTTCTGGCTTTGGATCAGCGCAGCTCCAGCCATTGTGGCCATCTGGGGAGTAAACCAGTGGATGAAAGACCTATCTCTCTCTGTCTCTCTCTGCCTCTGCCTCTCTGTAACTCTGCCTTTTAAATAAATAAATACATCTTTAAAATTTTTTTTAAAGTTAAGCATACAATTACCATGACCCAGGAATTGCATTTCTGTTTATATATTCAAGAGAAATCAAAGTGGGGATTTTTGAACAGATATTTGAAAACTAGTGTTCACAGCAACATTATTCACAACAGCCAAAATGGAAATACCTTAAATATCCACCAACACAAATATAATATATACACAAAACAGGATGTAATTTAACCTTAATAAGCAATGAAATTCTGAAACATGATTCTGATAGATGAACCTTAAAAGCATTATGCTATGTAAATAAACCAGACACAAAATGACAAATACTGTATATTTTCACTTACATTAGGCACCTAGAATAGGCAATCAATACAAACAGAAAGTAGAATGGAGGTTACGAAGGGGCTGGGAGAGGACATGGGGAGCTCTTGCTTAATGAATACCAAGCTTCTGTCTGGGGGACCGGCGTTATGGTGTCACCGGTTAAGTCACCACCTGCAAACTGGCATATGAACATCAGTTCATGTCCCGGCTTCTCCACTTCTGATCCAGCTCCCTGCTAATGCACCTGGGAAAGCAGTGGAAGATGGCCCAAGTCCTTGGGCCCTACACCTATATGGGAGACAAAGAAGAAGCTCCTGTCTTCAGTCTGGCCCAGCCCCAGCCATTGTGGTCACTTGGGGAGTAAACCAGAGGATGGAAGTTCTCTTTCTCTCTGTCTCTGTAATTCTGCTTTTGAAATAAATAAATAAACCCTTCAAAAATAGTTCTGTTTGGGATATGAAAAAGGTCAAGAAATGGGTATGTGATGGTAGCACAACACTGCAAATATACTTTAAAAAACCAAATATATTGCAGATACATGCTATGATGTGGTTGAACCTCAATAATGTTGTGCCAAGTGAAAGGAGCCAAACGCAAAAGGTCACATTTTGTATGATTCCATTTACGTGAAAAATCAAAGAATAGTTACATCCATACCAACTAATACAGACTGGTGGTTGCCAGGAGTTGGAGGGGACAGGAAATGGGGAGTAACTGCTGTAAGGGTATGGGGTTTTATTTTGGGGTGATGAAATATTTTGGAACTAGGCAGAGGTAGTGGTTATACAGAATTGTAAATGTACTAAATGTAACTGAATTTGTTCACTTTTGTTATGTGAACATCATTTTCTATTTTAAAAATAGTATTAAAAATTTTAGAAATGTGAAGTAAATAGGAGCATTTTAGATTTTTCTCAGTTTTAGAGCAAAAGCAATATATTTTCTATCTACTGTTAAAGTACATAGAGAAAAGATTCTTCTCATAAAGGGGCAGTTAAGTCATAGGTCTCCACTTACCATTAACAGGAGTACTCCCAAAGGGTGGCACTATGGAGCAGAGGGTTAAATCTAACCTCCATCTCATGATCCCAGCATCTCATATGGGAGTCTGTTTTGAGTCACAGCTGCTCAGCTTCTAAGCCAGCTTCCTGAATAATGTGCCTGGGAAGGCATCATATAATATTCCAGGTATTTGGGCCCCTGTCACCTATGTGGGAGATTGGATGAAGTTTCTGCCCCTGGCTTCAGCCTGGCACAGCCATGGCTGTTGTCAGCATCTGGGGCATGAACCAATGAATGGAAAATCTCTCTCTCTTTGTTTTTCCCTCTCTCTCCATCACTCTGCCTTTTAAACAAATTAAGTAAGTTAAAAAGTTTACAAGCCAGGACTTTTTTAAAAAGGGAGAGTAGACAAATCCAATTATAAATTATTTAAGAATAAGGACCCAGTATTATAATACTTGCATTCTCCTAGAACCTATATGTTGGGTCATTTGATAGTATACTGTAGATTACGAACAGTGTTTTTTTTTTTTTTTTAGTTTTCTAATTTCTTCTTCTTGTGTTTGGTCTGACTGTATAATTTCCTGCGATTTGTCTTCTAAGTCAGATATTCTTTCTTCTGCCTCACTGATTCTGTTGTTAAGGCTTTCCACTGCATTTTTCTATTGAATTCATTTGTGCTATTGAATTCTTCATTCCTAAGATTTCATTTTGATTTCTCTTTAAGATCTCAATTTCGTTGGAGAAATTTTCCTTCACGCCATATATGGTTTTCATTAGTTCGTGCATTCACTTTTGATTACTTATAAATAATCCTATGATCAATTTTTTGAACTCCATTTCTGGCATTTCTTCAATCTCTTCATCTTCATAATCTAGAATTGAAGTTTTGTATTCTTTTGTGGGCATCACATTGTTGTGTTCCTTATTCTTGTTTCTTGAATTGGTGTATTTTGTTTATTATTTAGCATTTGTGAAGATACTCGTTGGTTTCTTCTTTGTTTTATTGCTGTGGCGGCTTTTATTTCTGGACTATACCTCTGTTGGAGTGTCTACCGTTTCAGTGAATACAAAGAGACTTGTGGTGGGTGTGGCCAGGGAGCTATGTTTAGTGCTCCAGGGTGAAGCCAGTATCTAAGGTAACCCAGGTTGAGCATGGTAAATTTTTTTTTTTTTAAATCAGAGGGGAAGTTTGTTCTGCTCTGTTGGTGTAGACTCAGCTTACCTCTTCTCCTCAAAGGAGACCAGTGCCTGGGTGCTAGTCCCAGTGGGTATAATATTCGTCCACTCTGCCACAAGGACCACACAAAGGATCTGTGATTCCCAAGCAATGTCCCTCACCAAGGAACCAGGTAGCTCTGAGCATGTGGAGCCTTCAACAGTGACTGCCCAAAGTTCCAACCATACCCTGAGTCCTCCCACTCAGCCCCAGTGTTTTCACAGTCCTGGCACAAAAGCCTCCCACAGTCACAAACACCCAGCCCCCTGTCTATTCACCCCACCAGACTCAGGAGCCTCCTCTCAGCTGGGTTGCTGGGTGCTGACATGAGCTGGCACAGCTGTTACATATATCCAAAATGGTACCCACTATCAGCTGGTTACGGGATGCCTTTGCAGGGTGATCAGGGAGAGAGAAACTTGCCCCCTTCTTTGTTTTTCTCCTCTAGTTTGGCAGATACACTGTCCCCCACCAAGCTCCAAGCTGGATTCCCTCCAGGTTCTTCCTGCAGCTTTATTGCTACTGGCTTAGGCTGCTGCAGTTTGGTCTCACCTTGTTCTCCAAAGCTGGTGCTGAGGCTCTCGGCTGCTCGGGTCCTGAGTTGTGCACATCCATGCCCTCCACATAGGTCCACTGTGTCCCCCTAATTTTCATGGAGTTTCCTGCACCATTTTCTCCCTAATTCTTCCCTGAGACTGCATTCTCTCCACTTTTTTTAAACTATCTTCTCCTAGACTAGAGCAGTAAGCTCCCCCCCCACTCCACCTTCATAATCCCTTCCCAATATTTGCATTCTCTACTAACTCACACAGTATATAATTAGTAAATAAATCTGTATGAATTTAGTAGTTCATACCATTAAGCAAAGTCGATCAAAAAGAGTTTGTTCCAGTCCATTTGCATGAGCTGCCTCAGAACCCTGAATAGTAGGAGGCAGCTGTTTGGGGTCTCCAACAAGAATCAGCTTTTCACACTCAAACCTAAAAATAGAAATTCAAAACTTAAACAATAAAAAATGTTGCATTGGTATCATTTATTGTACTTTTCAAAATGTATTCCAAAATATTGGAATCCCATTAAGTATCTTGAGAATTAAGGAGGCTAAAATTAGTGCTAAGAAGTATATAAAGTCTTTGAAATGTTATATAGAAAAGAATCTCATATAACCATTTTTTACACATAAAGTTTAGTAAGTCTCCCTTGCTTCTGTCTGTAATTAGTCTAACATACACTTTGAGAAACAATGATTTTCAGAAACCATAAACTCTTAGAATTATAAGCTTTCCTTTAAAAGCCATTTGGTTTAAACTCTTGTTTTAGAGGTAAGAGTAAGATATCATGGGATATGAGCAGGATATCAAGTTTTGTAGACAAGTTTACATCCAGATCTCAACTCTATTATATTGCATGGACACAAAGTTATTTAATCTCTCTAGGTGTCAGGATTCTAATCAGTAAACTGGAGGTGATAATACTCTGCATGACTGTTGTAACGATTGGATGAAGTATGCAATGTGTTTAGTATATGGTAGGTGCCGTATTTCTCTTCTTCCCTCCACCCAGAGCCTTATTGCTCTTCCACCCCTTACTCCTGGGTAGGATGACTAACTCATCCTAGCTTAGCAAGTATTATCCAAGTTTTAAATTGAAAGTCTCTGAATTGAGGAACTTCCCAAGTCCGAGGCAAACCATAACAAGTGGTACCCTCTTTCTCATTAACTGAGAAGTAAACAAGGACTAGAATTCAAACCTATTGATTACTAGGTCTGATGCCCTTCCCATTACTTTAGGATTGCTCAATAAGAGATGCTCTAAAAGTACAATGTTTCAACTGCCTGGAACAGCTTAGATTGTATAATCTTGGGAATTTTGAGAGAAATGTTCATTTTCAAAATGTTTTTCCTTAAAAACTTTATATTCTTTTATTATCTAAAAATTAAGGGCTGGCGCTGTGGCACAGCGGGTTAACACACTGGCCTGAAGCACCAGCATCCCATATAGGCGCTGGTTCAAGACCCAGCTGCTCCACTTCCGAGAAGATGGCCCAAGTTCTTGGGCCCCTGCACCCGTGTGGGAGACCCAGAAGAAGCTCCTGGATCCTGAGACCCAGAAGAAGCTCCTGGATCCTGGCTTCAGATCAGTGCAGCTCTAGTTGTTGCAGCCAATTGTCTTTCTCTCTCTCTGCCTCTCCTCTCTCTGTGTAACTCTGACTTTCAAATAAATAAATCTTTAAAAAATTATTTCCAGAACCTTAGCCCTGCAATTATATCAACATAAAGGTACATTCTTCAGTGGAGTTAGGTTCTCAAACCATAACTAAGAAGGAACCTTTAATCTAGTTGAGAAAAATTTAAAACTGAAGCACTAGAACTCCCAAGGCTTTAAGGATTCTGTGATTCCAATGTTTAAGCTGTAAATTTTCATGCATTTACCTTAAAAAGTTTCCTTTTGAATTCTTTTCAAAAATTAGTTTGGGACAGGTGTTGTGGCACAGTGGGTTAAGCCACTGCTTGGGACTCCCACATCCCATATCAGAGAGCCGGGTTTGTGTCCAGGCTACTACGTTTCTGATCTACCTTACTGCTAGTGCTTGAATCCCTGTCACTCACATCGGAGAAGCAGATGGAGTTCCTGGCTCTTGACTTCCATCTGGCCCAGCCCTATCTGTCACAAGCATCTGCGGAAGTGAATCAACAGATGGAAGATCTCTCTTATTCCCTCTCTGTCACTCTGCCCTTAAAATGAATGAGTATATCTCTGAAAAAATTAGCTTACTTCTTGGATTGCTAAGATTTTTCATAAAAGTTTAGTAAACACCTGAGCTCATGAAATATGATAAAACGTGATATGTGAGGGTACTTGGGAAAAGAATCTTTAATGTTACCTTGCAATGGGAAGGAGAGAAGCCGGTTCAGTAATTTGACTACACTCATCAAGCATGACGACAGGAAATTTAAGATCATTCATGCATGGGAATGGGCAGGCTGCACAGGTAACTCCAACTACTCGAACCTTAATTACAACAAAAATGTTATCAATTAACAAATACTGAAAGAAAATATATTTACCAAAGAAACTGTAGACTAAATCAGAAATTAGGTTAGTCCTAATTTAATTCCTCTCAATCAGAAATCAAAATCCCACATACAGGGGCCAGTGCTGTGGCACAGTGGGTTGACGCCCTGGCCTGAAGCACCAGCATCCCATATGGGCACCGGTTCAAGACCTGGCTGCTCCACTTCCTATCCAGCTCTCTGCAATGGCCTGGGAAAGCAGTGGAGGATGGCCCAAGCTCATGGGCTCCTGCACCACGTGGGAGACCTGGAGGAAGCTCCTAGCTCCTAGCTTCGAATTGGTGCAGCTCGAGCAGTTGCGGCCATTGAGGAGTGAACCATCGGATGAATGGTTCTCTCCCTGCCTCTCCTCTCTCTGTGTAACTCTGACTTTCAAATAAATAAATAAACCTTTAAAAAAAAATCCCACATACAAATAGAAATCACAAAATATAGGCTACTTAAACTCTAAGTCCACTAATAAGAACATATAAAAGGCACATTTTGATATTCAGAAGAAAGGTACTATAACATTAGAGACTTTAAAAATATAAAGGATGACCTATATGCTTAGTCATCTAGATGAACCTTAATAAATACTAAATGTATTCTATGAACACAGGCCCAAGTTAGTCACATAAAACACTGAATATTCAATGAACTGTTCTATCCTTGACCTTGAGGTATACTAGTTTTAATTATTTAACCAGGCAAAGATGGCAAACTAATTCTAAACAACAGTAAATTAAAATGTACTTGTAACCTTTAGTACAAGTCTTTTTTTTTTTAAGATTTATTTATTTACTTCAAAGTCAGAGATACAGAGAGAGAGAGAGAGAGAGAGACAGAGAGACAGAGAGAGAGAGAGAGAAAAGTCTTCCAGGCACTAGTTCACTCCCCAAATGGCCACAACAGAGATACCTCAGAAATCTGAATATAGCCCTACCATATGATCAAGCCATTCCATTCTTTGGAATTTATACAAGGAAAATTAAATCAACAAATAAAAGAGTTTTCTATACCTCCATGTTTATTGCAGCTCAATTCACAATAGCTAAGACATGGAATCAACCTAAATGCCTGTCAATGGAAGACTGGATAAAGAAATTATGGGATATGTACTCTATGGAATACTACACCACGGTAAAAAAAAAATGAAATCCAGTCATTTGTAACAAAATGGAGGAAGCTAGAAAACATCATACTGAGTGAAATAAGCCAATCCCAAAGGGACAAATGTCATATGCTCTCCCTGATCTGTGACATCTAACTGAGCACCTAAAGAGAAACCTGTAGAAGTGAAACTGCCACTATACGAAGCAATGACTTGATCAGCCCCCTTGTCCTGGCTGTCGAGGAACAGCTTACTATTTTATTCTTTATAGTATTTTCTTTTTCTACTTAATACCATTGGTTGAACTCGTAACACAGAATTATTCTTAGGTGTTTAAATCCAATTGATAATACACAATTACTCTTAGGTGTTTAATTAATGCTATAACTAGTACTCAAATAGTATTTTACACTTTGTGTTTCTGTGTGGGTGCAAACTGTTGAAACTTTTACTTAATATATGCTAAATTGATCTTCTGTATATAAAGATAATTGAAAATTAATCTTGATGTGAATAGAAGGGGAGAGGGAGTGGGAGAGGGGAGTGTTGTGGGTGGGAGGGAAGTTATGGGGGGGGGGGGAAGCTATTGTAATCCATAAGCTGTACTTTGGAAATTTATGTTCATTAAATAAAATAAAATATAAATATAAAAAAATAAATAAATCCAATTGAAAATTGATCCCTGTAAAAAATGAGTGAGAAGGCCAGCGTTGTGGCTCACTTAGCTAATCCTCTACCTATAGCGCCAGCACCCCAGGTTCTAGTCCTGGTTGGGGCGCCAGTTCTATCCCGGTTGCTCCTCTTTCAGTCCAGCTCTCTGCTGTGGCCCAGGCAGGCAGTGGAGGATGGCCCAAGTCCTTGGGCCCTGCACCCGCATGGGAGACCAGGAGGAAGCACCTGGCTCCTGGCTTCAGATCGGCACAGCATGCCGGCCGTAGCGGCCATTTGGGGGAGAACCAACAGAAAAAGGAAGACCTTTCTCTCTCTCACTGTCTAACTCTGCCTGTCCAAAAAAAAAAAAAAAAAAAAAAAAAGAATGGGAATAAGAGAGGGAGGAGATATACAGTTCAGCATACATTCCCATGTACTTACACCTTAAGAGTAAAGCTAAAAATTTGCCATAGGACTCCAAATTCCATTAAGTTGGCAGGTACTAATGCCATCTTACATATTAAAGTGATCATATTAAGTGTGTAACTGATACTATAGATAGGATTAAGTGTCAAAGGGATCACATAAATAAGACCAAGTGTCTGGTAATAATAATAGATAGAATTTAAAGGGACAATGATCCAACATGGGAAGCAGGCCACACAGCAGACTCACAGAATGACAAATGCCCTAAATAGCATTCTGACCTCAGAATCAGCCCTTAAGGCATTCGAATCTGGCTGAAAAGCCCATGAGAGCATTTCAGGCATGGAAAGCTAAGACACTGCAGCAAAAAGCAACCTACATGAAGGATCTCTGTGAGTGAGATCCCAGTGGAAAGAAGGGCTATCAAAGAAGGATGTACTTTTCTCTGAAGGGAGGAGAGAACTTCCACTTTGCATATGGCCCTGTCTAAATACTGACAAAGTTTGAGGACTCAAAAGGCTTCCATAGCCTTGGCAGCTCATGACAAGAGCCTCGGGTGGTCACTGACGTCAAAAATAAGAGTGTTAACTGTTAAATCAACAACAGGAGTCACTGTGCACTTACTCCCCATGTTGAACCTCTGTCCTTAATGAGGTGTACTATGAGAATTAATGGTAGAATCTGTCTTCAAAAAGTACTTTATACTTTGTATATCTGTGTGGGTGCAAACAGTGGAAATATCTACTTAGTATAGAGTTGGTCTTCTGTATATAAAGTGAATTAAAAATGAATCTTAATGAAAAATGGAATGGGAGAGGGAGTAGGAGGTGGGATGGGAGTAGGGGTGGAGGGCGGGAATGCGGAGAAGAAACACTATATCCCCAAAAGCTGTACATATGAAATTTGTATTCATTAAATAAAAAACTTTAAAAAATAAAAGATTCATTTATTTACTTGAAAGAGTTACAGAGAGAGAGAGAGAAGAAATCTTTCATCTACTAGTTCACTCCCCAAATGGCCGCAGTGGCTGGAGCTGGGCCAATCTGAAGCCAGGAACCAGGAGCCAAAGGCAGGAGCTTCTTCTGGATCTCCCACACAGGTGCAGGGACCCATGGACTTGGGCCATCTGCTGCTGCTTTCCCAGGCCATAGCAGAGAGCTGGATTGGAAGTGGAGCAGCCGGGGCTAGAACTGGCGCCCATATGGGATGCTGGCACTGCAGGTGGAGCTTTACCTGCTACACCACAGCGCTGGCCCCACAAGTCTTAAACATTACAGCAAATGGCATTATTCTTAAGGCAAAAGGGCTAATACAAGCTAGTATTTAAAACTAAATACAAACAATAGGAAAACCTATGAATTTCTTAACTGAATGTGGTCACTGCCCAGTATCCTCTGAGCTACAAACATACATCTGTATGTACATATATAAATATGTGTATGCACAGTGAGTAATCTACAAATTGACCAATCTTTTTTTTTTAAGGTTTATTTATTGGAAAGGCAGAGTTTCAGAGAAGCAGAGGAAGTGAGAGAGACACAGAGAGAGAGAGAGAGAGAGAGACAGAGACAGAGAGAGGTGGTTCATCTGTTGATTCACTTCCCAAATAGCTGCAATGGAGACAGGAGACAGGAGCTTCTTCTGGGTCTCCCACACAGCTGCAGAGGCCCAAGGATTTGGGTCATCTTCTGCTGCTCTTCCAGACCATAGCTGAGAGCTGGATAGGAAGTAGAGCAGCCAGGTCTTGAACCGGCACCCATATGAGATGCTGTCACTGCAGGAGGTGGCTTGACTGGCTATGCCACAGTGATGGCCTCCACCCCCCTTTTCTTTTTGATTATATCTTTTCTTCAACAAATGTTGACTGACATTTGCTGACAAAAATATTCTTTATAAATAATGTCCCCTGATCTTGTGAAATAATAAAATATTATAAATCCCTTACATATTATAATAATAATACTGATTACACAAAATAGCTTTATTTAAGTTAGGTTTTTCTCTTTTGTTACAAACAAAAGTTACTAAAGCCACATTTATATTAGAAATTTCATTGTATTTAAACATTCAGTCCTTTAAAAATGATGAGTCCTTCCAGCTCTCTGCTATGGTCTGGGAAAGTAGTAAAAGACAGCCCAAGTCCTTGGACCCCTGCACTCATGTGGGAGACCCAGAAGAGGTTCCTGGCTCCTGGCTTCAGAACGGTGCTCCAGTTGTTGTAGCCATCTGAGGAGTGAACCAGTGGATGGAAGACCTTTCTCTCTCTCTCTTTCTGCCTCTGCCTCTCTGTAACTCTGCCTTTCAAATAAATAAATAAATCTTAAAAAAAAATAAGTAAAATAAAATAAAATAAAATGATCAATCTTCGAAGCAATATATTATGTTTCTGGCATTACTCTGAAATATTTGTTATCTAATTTCTGGTAATTACTAACCTTAGGAAGAGAATTCTAGAGTTATAAATCAGGAAGTTTCTTTTTTTCAATTTAAAGAAATATATAAAAACCGAAAGAACTGTTTTTTCTTTAAAATTACATATTTTTGTCTTCTATCATTATATTGGTGAGATTCTAACAGGAGAGCTTTGTTAATAGTCTAGGAAGTAGTAGCTAACTATGAAACCTTTTAAAATACGTTTTATTGGCAGGTGCCATGGCTCACTTGGCTAATCCTCCGCCTGTGGCGCCAGCTTCTGTCCTGGTTGCTCCTCTTCCAGTCCAGTTCTCTGCTGTGGCCCGGGAAGGCAGTGGGGGATGGCCTAAGTGCTTGGGCCCTGTACCCACATGGGAGACCAGGAGGAAGCACCTGGCTCCTGGCGTTGGATCGGCACAGCACACCGGCCGCAGCGGCCATTTGGTGGGTGAACCAACGGAAAAAGAAAGACTTTTCTCTCTGTCTCTCACTGTCTAATTCTGCCTTTCAAAAAAACAAACAAACAAACAAACACACAACAACAAAAAACATTTTATTGTAGAGACATGTCATTCTAGGAATATATCAGTCCTGATTACTTAACTGGATCTGGAATTTTTTAGCAAAAACTATTTTTTTTTTCAGATTTATTTTATTTATTTGAAAGAATTACAGAGAGAAAGGGAGAGACAGAGAGAGAGAGAGGGCTTCCAATCACTGGTTCACTCCCCAGACAACTGCAACACTCCAGGCTGGGCCAGGCTGAAGCCAGGAGTTTCTTCTGGTCTCTGATGTGGGTTCAGGGGCACAAGCACTTGGGCTATCTTCCACTGCTTTCCCACTCCATCAGCAGGGAGCGGGATTGGAAGTGAAGTGGCCGGGACTCAAACCAGTGTCCATATGGGATGCTGGTGCTACCAGCAGTGGCTTAACTTGTTATGCCACAGCGCCGGCCCCAGTTAACAAAAACTTTTTAAGGGCTGGCGCCACGGCTCAATAGGCTAATCCTCCACCTAGCGGCGCTGGCACACCGGGTCCTAGTCCCGGTCAGGGCACCGGATTCTGTCCTGGTTGCCCCTCTTCCAGGCCAGCTCTCTGCTGTGGCCCAGGAGTGCAGTGGAGGATGGCCCAAGTGCTTGGGCCCTGCACCCCATGGGAGACCAGGAGAAGCACCTGGCTCCTGCCTTTGGATAGGCGCCGTGCGCCAGCTGCAGCGCGTTGGCTGCGGCGGCCATTGGAGGGTGAACCAATGGCAAAAGGAAGACCTTTCTTTCTGTCTCTTTCTCTCACTGTCCACTCTGCCTGTCAAAAAAAAAAAAAAAACAAAACACCTTTTTTTAAAAGTTTCCTATAAAATAGTTTTCATTTGTGAACAGTAATACCAATGAGCCACAGATTATTGTTAACTGAGTTTCTGTTTAGAAAATGCAGGAAAGTCTTTAATGGTTATTCTTACATTATTCTTATTATACTGGGTGAGTAAAACGGCAAGTAGTTTACATAAGTATTTAATTTGTATCCATTGAATACAGCCAAATGAACCCCTTCCAGATCTGGTTGAAGAGAGGGCTGTACAGAATTAACTCTATAATGCAGGTAATAGAAAATTAGTCTGAAGCCATCTGAAGAACCAACACTTGTTACAGATTGGTTATTATTTCCAGTTTCTCCCTCCCTTTCTGTCAGATTATAATTATATACCATGTCCTTTATCATGTGACTTTGCAGGGCTTCTCACCTTACTGATGTGAGCTTGACCATTTGTTTTTAACAAATGGAATGCCAGTGGACATGATATTAACAGATTTAAATGTATTTGTGTGATCTGGCCTGTTCTTTTTCACATCTGTCAGCTGTCAGGAGATCACCATGCTAGGGGCAACTGTGCTGAATGAGAGATGTGACCTGTAGCTAAAGCCAAATCAAACCAATTGACTTAGGAGTTATGGGAATATGACTTTGTTAAGTAAGGCTATTTCAGCAATAGCTGATCAATACAGGGATCCAAGAGGGTTGGTATTATCAAATCTCTTGCAGAAAGTGACCAGTGTCCATATGATCCAAGAAGCCAACAACTCCCTTTTCCTTCACCCTCCTTTATTTTCCCCATGCTTTACTTCCATTGGAGGAGGTTATTAATTTTTTTCTTTTTCCTCGACCAGCAGATGCCTGAGCTGTTCCACATCAGAACTCAATAAAGGGGAGTACACTACTTGTCACAGCCTGAGACCCTTTGTGGTTACGCTTGGCTCTTGATGCCTGAAAGCCAATATATGTGTCTCCTGAATTCTTGGATAGAGACAAAACTTAAAAGGCGTAGCTTTCTAGGAGAGTATTAAAAACAAATTTAGCTTTGATATTTTGCAGAGGATCAGACCTTTTTTTCTGCTCTGAGAACAGAACTAACTTAATTTAACTTGCTAAGAATCTATTTCAATCTCTTCACTTTTCTCCCCACACCTATAAAAAGATACCCAAATAGTAAGAAGGAGAAAGTATGACTTAGGCACGAGTTGGATCTGTTCACAAATTTGAAGAACCCTTTACAGCAAAATAAAACATGCACTGGGTAGACCATAACCCAGGATATACAAGCAAACACCTATTTAAATGCAAGCTATCACAGTAGCTTGTTTAATTTAAAGAAAATATTCTTCCATCAACAGAAATAAAGGAATCCATTGGCAGGTATGTGGCACAACAGTTAAGACACTGCCTGGGGATGCCTGCATTCCATATCAGAATTTCTGGATTTTAGTCCCAAGTCCATTTCTGATTCCAGTTTCCTGCTAATGCACAGTCTGGGAGGCAGCAAGTGATAGTGTAAGTATTCAAGTCTCTGCCATCTATTTGAGATTCACATTGAGCTTCAGGCTTCTGGGCTTCAGCCTGGCCCAGCTTTGGCAATTGTGGTTACCAGAAGATAAAAAGATCTCACACTGTCTCTACCTTTCAAGTAAGTGAAAACGAAATTAAAACTTATTTTTAAAAAAAACCAGAGAATCTGAATAGTATGTTGGTATTTCATAAAATTCACAGAAAATGGAATTAAAAGATAGGTTTATGAGGCTGTGTGCTATGGTGTAGCAGGTAAAGGTGAAGGCACCGCATGTAGACCTGGCATCCCATATGAGCGCTGGTTCATGTACCAGCTGCTCCACTTCTGATCCAGCTCTCTGCTATGGCCTGGGAAAGCAGTAAAAGATGGTTCAAGTCCTTGGGCTCCTACACCCACATGGGAGACCCGGAAGAAGCTCCTGGATCCTGGCTTCAGATGGGTGCAGCTCCGGCCATTGTGGCCAACTGCAGAGTAAACCATCGGATGGAAGACCTCTCTCCCTCTCTCTGCTTCTGCCTTTCAAATAAAATAAATAAACGTTTAAAAAAATGAATAAATAAAAAATAGGTTTACTTTGGTGCAAAAAAATTGAAACCCTGCAGTTTTTTCACAGTACATATTTTGCATGAACTTTTTGAAGACCCCTTTTATACAGGTATAGATTAAGAATCAAACTGAATCTACTTCGCCTTACCTGCTTCAACAGGGTTCTGTTGGTCCCCAATTTATGCTGCTCAATACTTTTTCTCACATAGACTTTCTCCACAGGAGTCAAGTCTTCTTTCATTAGTGCATGTAGTTCTTTTAATTGCTCACTTTCATTTTCTGAGCCAGCATGCAAGCTAAAAAAATTCATAAAAGAATATAACTCTTTATTACATCTTTCATGACAAAAAAGTAAAATGCAGATTTTCAAAGTGAACCAAGAATAATAAAAGGCTTTCTTCAAAAATCAAGTTTAGAGTAATAATTACATTAAATTACCATACTTTTCTGAACAATCTGTGAAATGAGTAGAAGTCTTACCTATAAGGTAAAACTGGCTTGGCAATCTTTCTAATACTCCCAACTCTGACAAACTTTTCAAATCCAAGACTGAGAAGCCTTTAAAGACAAGATAAAATAGATCTTGATTATTTAGAAAATTGAAAAGGAAACAAAGTATCCTATAATATTTGTTATTAAAGTTAAAATATTTTTAAAGATTTATTTATTTATTTGAAAGGCAGAGTTACAGAGAGGCAGAGACAGAGAGACAGAGAAGAGGTCTTCCACTGGCTGGTTCACTCCCCAAATGGCTGCAAGGGCCGGAACTGTGCCAATCCAAAGCCAGGAGCCAGGAGCTTCTTCTGGGTCTCCCATGGAGGTGCAGAGGCCCAAGGACTTGGGCCATCTTCTACTGCTTTCTCAGGCCACAGCAGAGAGCTGGATGGGAAGTGGAACAGCTGGGACTTGAATCAGTGCCAGCACTGCAGGTGGCAGCTTTATCAGCTAAGCCATAGTGCTAGCCCCTTATTGTTAATTTTGTATAACAGTATTTTGAGATTAAAGTATTCAATGTGAAATGCCTAAACCCAAAAACAATAAATGGAATGCAGTTTAAGGATCTCTTTTGTATTAGTATCATGTATTTCATAGAGAATCTTGAAATATTTATTATTTTATGTTGAGGGCTCATTAAGTGTTCATAAAATACAGTCAGTATTTATCATAAAAAAAATTGTCTGTAAACAGCATTGGAGGCATCTAGCAAGCCCAGGATGGGGAAGGTTCTTCTTTATTATATCCAAGCCCTTTAAACTCTAAAATTTTAGATGTCAAAAATATTCTCTGTGCACTGGATTCCATATCATATGATTCATTAGAATCTGCTGTGTGTGGCCTTGGACATTTTTATTAGCTAGTAAAATTAAAAAGTAATTTGATGCTAGAATAGAAGGATTCATCATAGTGACTTTAGGATGCTGGTTCCAAAGCAGGTATAATTATGCAAAGCAAAGGTTCTAGTAAAGAACTGCCAAAGAAGGAATTAAAAATCAGATTTTGGGGCCAGCGCCATGGCTCACTTGGTTAATCCTCCTGCCTGTGGCGCCGGCATCCCATATGGGCGCCGGGTTCTAGTCCCAGCTGCTCCTCTTCCAGTCCAGCTCTCTGCTGTGGCCTGGGAGGGCAGTGGAGGATGGCCCAAGCGCTTGGGCCCCTGCACCCACATGGGAGACCAGGAAGAAACACCTGGCTCCTGGCTTTGGATCGTTGCATTGCCGGCTGTTGCGGCCATTTGGGGAGTGAACCAATGGAAGGAAGACCTTTCTCTCTGTCTCTCTCTCTCACTGTCTAACTCTATCTGTCAAATAAAAAAAAAAAAATCAGATTTTATATAAGGGGCCAGTGTTGTGACATAGCGGGTAAAGCTGCAGCCTGTGACACCAGCATCCCCTATGAGTGCCAGTTCATGTCCCAGCTGCTCCACCTCCAATCCAGCTTCCTGTTAAAGACCTCAGAAAAGCAGCAGAGGATGGCCCAAATGTTTGGGACCCTACACCCTTGTGGGAGACCTGGATGAATTTCCTGGCTTCTGGCTTCTGCCTGGCTGGGCCCTGACCATTGAGACCATTTGGGGAGTGAACCAGTAGATGGAAGATCTCTCTTTGTCTCTCCCTTTTTATCTGTGTAACTCTGACTTTCAAATACACAAAAATAATTTTAAAAATATTTTATATGAGTTCAACAAGAAAAAGACCTTCCTTCAATGGAGGGTCTTCATTTTACTTGTTGGACTCTTCATTTAGTAGAGCACTAAGCTCTACTATTAAAAATATGTTATCTTAAAACTTAAAAAAGAAAGAAACAGAAAATGGAAGAAAGAAAGGGAGAAGGAGAAGGAGGGAGGAGGGAGAAAGAGAATATCATCCTATTTTTAGAAGTGTATCTATGAACTACACTGATCTTTTCTCTTCTTTTTATTAACATCACATAAACACAAAAAACATAGAAAAATTTTATATGAAAGCATCCACCTTAACCTTGAAAGAAAACAAACCAAGAGCAATAATTCAATAATCCAGAATCCCTGAAGTCAGTGCAAACAGAGTTGAGATCAACTACATCAAAAATTTTATGTATAATAAGAAAGTTCTCAAGCAAGTAAATATGTTTACATTCTTTAAAAAAAAATGCTCCAAAGCCTTAGCAATATGAAAGGCAACAGATACCAAATACTTAGCATTAAGATTTATTATGAAGAAACTATTAATCCATGATCTCTCATTTAATAGTTGCTACAGCTCTACATGATACATAATCTAAAAGATAAAGACACTGAAGCTCCAAGTGAAGAAAGTTTATGGAGGCCACATAGCTAATACGGAGTCAGCCAGCACTCAAATCCAAGCCAGTTTGTCCATCTATAGAGGCAATGGTTGCTCTTCTAATTACTTTACTCAATCCAACTAGGGTTTTGTGAGAAAGGAGTCTCCTCCTACCCTTCTCTCTCTTTTTTTTTTTTTTTTTTTTTTTGACAGGCAGAGTGGACAGTGAGAGAGAGAGAAAGAGAGAGAAAGGTCTTCCTTTGCTGTTGGTTCACCCCACAATGGGTGCCACGGCCGGCGCATCGCACTCATCCGAAGCCAGGAGCCAGGTGCTTCTCCTAGTCTCCCATGCGGGTGCAGGGCCCAAGGACCTCGGCCATCCTCCACTGCACTCCTGGGCCACAGCAGAGAGCTGGCCTGGAAGAGGGGCAACCGGGACAGAATCCAGCACCCCGACTGGAACTAGAACCCGGTGTGCTGGCACGGCAGGCAGAGGATTAGCCTATTGAGCCGCGGCGCTGGCTTCCTACCCTTCTCTCTTACATATTTTATAGTTCTAGCTCAGTACCAGGAACAGAGTTGGAGTTTAACAAATACCCAGCCCTCTAAAACATCTTTTATTAACTCAAAATGGGTATTTAAAGAGCTGGGCAACTGAAGAAACTATAGGCCTCCAAAAATAGTTTTTGAAAATAATTTATTCAGCAGCAATACATGAATAGATTTCAATTTTTGCATTTTTTCATAAGTCTTCATCTTGGAGATGGTTTAGTTGAAGGATATAAAATCACTGTGGGGAGCAACTCGGACTAGACTAAGTTACTGGAATTAAGACTTATTCTATGCATCTGCTCTCCCACAATATGGCGCTGGGAGAGGAGAAAACAGCTTCTACGCAGCTGCCTCTTGCCAACTTGAGTGATGACCTCCAGGAGCTGATCCTGCTCCTGATTGGAGGAGAGCAGCGTACTCGGCGTGTGGGCAGCCGAGTTGGGATTGGCGGAAGAGGACTATAAAGGAGGAGAGAGACAACATGCACCAGGAACATCTAAGGGGAACATCTATCTGAAGGAACACCTGTGCAGCCCCCGAGAAAGCCGGCGGTGTGCCGCTCCCCCGCGGAAGTGGGGAAAGTGGCAGGGGGAACCGCCCTTCCACGGAGGTGGAAGGGTCGGTAGCCAACCCGGGAAGAACCAGCAGCAAACCCGGGGAGGGCCGAGCAGACGAAAGAACAGCGCAGGGTCCTGTGTCGTTCCTCCATGAAGACGGGGAGTGACAAATCACTACACAAAATTCAATAGCATTTGTATATACAAACAATGTCATAGCTGAGAAAGAACTTGTAAGATCAATCCGATTCTCAAAAGCTACAGAAAAATTGAAATACCTTGGGATAAAGTTAACCAAGGATGTGAAAGATCTCTACAATGAACATTACAAAACATTAAGGAAAGAAATAGAAGACAACACCAAAATGGAAAAATGTTCTATGTTTATGGATTGGAAGAATTAATATCATCAAAATGTCCGTATTACTGAAGGTAATTTACATACTGAATATGATCTCAATCAAAATACCAAAGACATTCTTCTCAGATCTGGAAAAAACAATCCTAAAATTCATATGGAATCATAAGAGACCCAGAATAGCTAAAGCAATCCTAAACAACAAAAATACAACTGCAGGCAACACAATATCTGATTTCAAGACATAGTACAGGGCAGCTGTAATCAAAACAACCTGGTAATGGCAAAGAATAGACATATCAACCAATGGAACAGACTAGAGACCCCAGAAATCAATCCATGCACCTACAATCAACTAATCTTTGACAAACAAGCTAAAAAATCACTCCCTGGAAAAGGACAGTTTCTTCAACAAATGATGTGACAACTGGATCTCTGCATGCCAAAGTATGAAACAAGGCCCTTACCTTACACCCTATCACAAAAATCAACTCACAATGGATAAGGGGCCTAAATCTAAGACCTGAAATCATCATCAAATTACTAGAGGAAAAAATAGGGAAACACTGCAAGACTTTGGCATAGGCAAAGCCTTCGTGGATAAGACCCTAGAAACAAAAACAAGAACTGCAAAAGTAGACAAAAGGAATTACATTAAGCTAAGAAGCTTCTGCACAGCAAAGGAAACTCAACAAAGAAAAGAAGCAACTGACAGAATGGGAGCAACTATTTGTAAAATATTCCTCTGATAAAGGATTAATATCCAGAATACATAAGGAGCTCAAGAAACTCAACAACAACAAAACAAGCAATCCAGTTAGGAAATGGGCAAAGGACTTGAAAAGACATTTTTCAAAAGACGAAATTCAAATAGCCAACAGACACATAAAAACTGCTCAGGATCACTAGCCATCAGGGAAATGTAAATAAAAACCACAATGAGGTTTTAACCTCACTCCACTTAGAATAGCTATCATCCAAAAATCAAAAGTTAGGGCTGGCACCATGATGAAGCAGGTAAAACTGCCTCCTGCAGCACTGGCATCCAACATGGGTGCTGGTTCAAGTCCTGGCTGATCCAATTCTAATTCAGCTCCCTACTAATGCACCTGAGAAAGCAGTAGAAGATGGCCCAAGTGCTTAGACCATTGCACTCACATGGGAGATCCAGAAGAAGCTCCAGGCTCCTGGCTTTGAGTAGGCCCAGCTCCAGCTGTTGCGGCCTTTTGGGAGTGAACCAGAAAATGGAAGATTTCTCTCTATCTCTCTCTCTCTCTCTCTCTCTCTCTCTCTTCCTCTCCTTCTCCATAACTCTTTCAGAGAAATAAATAAACCTTTAAAAAAAAATGCTGGAAAGGATGTGGGGAAAAAGGTACCCTAATGCACTGCTGGTTGGAATGTAAATTAGCACAACCATTATAGAAGACAGTATGGAGTTTCCTCAGAAATCTGAAAACAGATGTACTATATCACCTAGCAGTTCCACTCCTGGGAATTCACACAAATGAAATGAAATCAGCATGAAAGAATTATCTGTACCCACATGTTCGTAGCAGCTCAACCCATAATAGCTAAGACATGGAATGAACACAGATGTCTAACTAGCTAAAGAAATTATGGTATATATAAACAAAGGAATGCTACTCAGCCATAAAACTGAATGAAATCTTATGCTTTGCAACAATATGGATGTAACTGGAGACCATTATGCTTAGTGAAATAAGCAGTCCAAGAAAGACCAATATCATGTTTTCCCTGATTTGTGATAATATACAGAGTACAAAATAAAATGCAACATATCTGAGCAAAATTCACATTTTCAGATTTGATTATTGTTTATAGCCCTTGTCTATACTCCTGAGGAACAGCAGTTTTCCTACTTACTACTTGTTGAATTCTACATTTAGTGGAGTTAAGATTAAGCTTGTGATTATGAAGTTAAATTGAAAGTATGTCATTGTAAAAATTAAAAGAAAAACAAGGAAAAGCAGGAGAGAGGGTGGGAGCAAGGGAGCCTAAGGTGGGAAGTATCATGCTAAGGTGGGAAGTATCATCATGCTACTAAAACTGTATATATGAAATAAACTGTTTTTTCCCTTTTTATTAAAAAATTTAAAAATAAATTAAAAATTGGTATTAGACACAACAGAATGATATTTGGAGAATCTAATATTATAATGACCTGCTGAGGTTGATTTTTACACATTGTTAAACTCTTTGAGTATTAAAAATATTTAATATTTTCTTGAATTTTTAATAAAATCTTATTCAATAACAAAATTTTTATATTTTCAGAATATACTGCTCTTGCCTTCTTTGGGTTCCTCTTATTCAAACTAAAAACCTAATTTATTTAAATTGTTCTGCTATGTAAATATTGTAGTAGACACAGGTATATGAATAACAGACTGACCTGTAGTAATTATTGGTTGTAGTACTGATTTTGGCTTACTTCTAAGATATTAGACCCAAGATTCCTGGGTCAGAGGTAAAAGACTTTTACTCCTAGCACAAGTACAGCAACATAGGCATCAATGTATCTGCACTGTATTTCCTTTGCCCCCCAAGTCCCATAGAGAGAAGCAGAGGTCTCAACCGATGTCTGCACATACAGTTGGTTAAGTTGAAAGAGTAATCCTGAGGTTGGAGGCCCACTGCTTTTATAACAAGAGACAGGCAGGGTGCCACTGTGGCGCAGTAGGTTAATCCTCCGCCTGCGGCACTGGCATCCCATATGAGCACCGGTTCTAGTTCAGGCTGCTCCTCTTCCAGTCCAGCTCTCTGCTATAGCCTGGGAAAGCGGTAGAGAATGTCCCATGCTTGGGCCCCTGCACCCGTGTGGGAGACACGGAGGAAACTCCTGGTTCCTGGCTTCGGATCGGCGCAGCTCCGGCCGTTGTGGCCATCTGGGGACTGAACCAACAGAAGGAAGACCTTTCTCTGTCTCTCCCTCTCACTATCTGTAACTCTAGCTCTCAAATAAATTTAAAAAAAAACTTAAAAAAAAAAATAAAAAGACAGGCAAGTCTATTCTTTGTCCTGGAATGAGACATTACCATATCAAAACTGCTTGCTGCAAACACAACCCTGAGAAATGTCTTGGTTAACAGTGCTCAAGACCTACTTTCTTGCTACCCAGCAGGGATGCTCAAGGCCCATGGCAGACTACCTCGCTCAACAAGCACATCTCTGGTTCTACATGTTCTTACCTGAACCTGAATTTTTACAATGGTATCCCATCTTCATGCCAGAATTGTCAGGTTTGTAGCCTATTTTGTCCTGTTTATAACCTAACAAGTTAGCCTATCACTATTTCATAGATGGGTCAGAGAAAAAGATCCTGTACTCTTGCCATACCCAGCAGGAATATACATAGATACTCAGTGTCCATGGAGACTGCTTCTTCCAACAATAACCTAAAACATTAGCTACTTAAATACATTTAAATACATTTATCATACGTACTCAAGAAGTACTCTGTCAACGGCTACATTGGTAGAAGAAGAAATTAAAAGTTTCCATGGTCTTGCATTTCCAACTGTAGAAGTTTCACTCTTTTCAAACAGCTGTACAAAGAACAAAATCACCACTGCCAGCAAATAACTCTTGCCTGCTCCAAAAACACCTAATTATTTTAAAGGAAAGGGAAAAACATAAAGGCAATATCATTTAAAACATTTCAGAAAGCACAAGAAATATTTCAGGGTCATTGTGATGGTTAATTTTAAGTATAACTTGACTGAGTTAAGGAATATCCCAAAGCCTAGAAAAGTATTTTTGGGCATGTCTGTGTGTGGGTATTTCGCATCTCAGGGTTTCCAACCTGCAGACAACCTATTGTGGGATTTCTCTGCCTCCTTAATTGCATGAGTCAATTTCCTAATAAAGCCAGTGCTGTGGCATAGCAGGTAAAGTCGCTGTCTGCAGTGCCAGCATCCCATATGGGCGCAGGTTTGATACCCAGCTGCTCCACTTCTGATCCAGCTCCCTGCTAATGTGCCTGTGAAAGCAGCTGAAGATTGTCCAAGTCTTTGGGCCCCTGTACCCACATGGGAAACTTGGAAGAAGCTCCAGGCTCTTGGCTTCGGATCAGACCAGCTCTGGCTGTTGCAGCCATTTGGGGAGTGAACCAGTGGACGGACAGACCTCTTTCTTTCTCTCTGTCTGCTTCTGTCTCTCTGTAACTCTGCCTTCAAAATAAATAAATAATTTTTAAAAATTCCCTATCATCTATCTATATACATATCCTATTGTTTCTCTCTAGAGAAACTTATTACTTCTATCTATTTGCTTCTCATCTTCATTTAATTAATTTTTTAAAAAATTGAGTGCCTACTATAAGCATAAGGAATAAACAGATAAATAACCAAAATATCTCTAACTTTAATGAGACCATATTCTACTTAATATGATATGCAAAGGAATAATGATGAAATAATATTATGAGTCACAGTGTTATGACAACAGAGAAGGAAGAATATCTCTGCTTTGGTGGAGAAGAGAATGCTTCCTAAAAGTAAGAACTAGCAGAACAAACTCACCCAGTCTTTGTCCCTAAGATATCCAGACTGCTTAAAGAAAGGGTCATTCTAGATAGAGGTATGACTAAGTATGTAGCTCTTAAAAGAACCTGAACAATTTCTATATGGCCTACAGCAAATGGGCAAGTAGGGGCTGTCATAAGAGTTCACAGGAGCTCTGCTTGCTATGTATAAAAAGTCTGAATTTTGGGGCCAGTGCTGTGAAGTAGCGGGTAAAAGCCGTCACCTGTAGTGCCGGCATCCCATATGGGTACTGGTTTGTGTCCTGGCTGCTCCACTTCAGATCCAGCTCTTTGCTGTGGCCTGGGAAAGCAGTGTAAGATGGCCCAAGGACCCCTGCACCCATGTGGGAGACCCAGAGGAAGCTCCTGGCTCCTGGCTCCTGGCTTCGGGTCGGTGCAGCTACAGCTGCTACAGCTATCTGGAGAATGAACAAGCAAATGGAAGATCTCTCTCCCTCTCTCTCTGCCTCTCTGCAACTCTGCCTTTCAAATGAATAAATAAATCTTTAAAAAAAAGAAGAAAGCCTTTACCTTACTAAAGGTCAGGGGAAGTCATTCAAGGATTTTTGGCTATGGGATTGATTTAGATTATGTTTTAGAAAAATTACTTAAGTTAAAATATGGAGAAAGGTAAAATTAAAGGTAAATCAATGAGAATGCTGTATGACATTATTCATAACAATAGTAAATATAAAATTTCCTAAGTGTTTCCCATCTGCCAGGCATCTAAGTCCTTTTCCTCTGTTAACTCACTTAGTTCTCTAATCCTATGAGGTAGATTCTGTTATCATTCCCATTTTATAGGACAGGAAATTAAAGCTAAGAGATAAGTAACCTATCCAAAATCATACAGCTAGGGGCCAAGATATAAATCCAGGAGCCTAAACTTTCAGCCACTAGGTGATAAAGAATGTGATAAAGCCTTCAGTTGAGGGAGTGCAAGTGAACAGGAAAGAAAATTGCTATGAAAGTTGGGTAGAAGCTAGGTAGGACCCATCTGAGTGACGGATCTGATGGCAGCTCAGCAATCAGAAAGTAGAAGAGGGGCCGGTGTTGTGACAGTGGGTTAAGTTGCTGCTTGCAATGCCAGCATCCCATATTACAGTGCTGGTTCTAGTCCTGGCTACTACTCTTCTGATCCAGCTTTCTGTTAATGCACCTGGAAAGGTAGTGGAAGATGGCCTAAGTGTTTGGGTTCCTGCTAACCACGGAGTGATCCGGACTGAGTTCCTAGCTCCTGGTTTCAGCCTTTCCTAGACCTGGCTGTTGTTGCCATTTGAGTAGTGAACCAGTGGATGGATGATCTCTTACTCTGTCTCCTATCTCACTCTGTTGCTCTGCCTTTCATATGAGGAAAGAGAAGGAGGGAGGGGAGGAAAGAAAGGTGACAAGGGGGGAAGGAAAGGTGGGGAAGGGAACAAGGATTGAGAGAATCACTTAATCTTTGGATAAAGAATAATCTTTTTTTTTAAAGATTTATTTTATTTATTTGAAAGGCAGAATTACAGAGATGGAGACACAGAGAGCGATCAATCTTCCATCTGCCAGTTCACTGGCACACAACAGCTGGGATGGCCACAACAGCTGGGACTGGATCAGGCTAAAGCCAGAAGCCTGGAACTCCATCTGGGTCTCCTATGTGGGTACAGGGGCCCAAACTCTTCGGCCATCTTCTGCTGCTTTCCCAGGCACATTAGTAGGGAGCTGGATCAGAAGTTGAGTAGCCGGGACTCAAACTAAGGCCCATATGGGATACCTGTGTCATAGGTGGCAGCTTTATCTGCTATGCCACAGTGCCGGCTCCAAAAGTATAATCTTAAAATGACTTCACAGTATTTAGTCTGATCAGCAAGGTGGATGTGATGTAACTCCTCAAAATAAGGCAATATATTGGATCTGCTTTGGGCTAAAAGTCTGTCAGAAAATGAGCTATAGTGCTGACAGAACCCAGATAGAATACTCAGCTGTGAAAAGGAAAAAATAAAGTTCCTTCCCTTGCACAGCATCAGAAGAGGTAAGAATAGGTCTACACTTCAGTAAGCTGGAGAAGGACATGACACTGGAAGGAGTTTCTGTATTAACTCCATTTCCTGTGTCAGAGGCAAGATCCATTTCAGAGAGGGTAGAGAACAGGCAAGGAAGGGGTGAGATAATGAAGGTTACAATAGCTGCTATGAAGGATGGAAGAGTAAGCTGACCTGGAATTAATAAAGCCTCTTAGGTGGCTCTATGGTGCAATGGACAGCACATTGGACTTCTACAAATGCCCCTGAACAAATTTAAAGTCTACTCCCAATTGTAAAATACACTGGCATCTAGATCATATGAGTACTTTACTAATGATAGTATAATGCTACTCATTCATCAGATATGCTGCTAATTCCCCATTTTACGGTAGTCACTTCAACTCCATTATAACAGTTTACTAAAGTGGATTCTGGGCTCAGGTTACTAGATTTATTCTGGAAACTTTTCTGATTAGGAAATTACACAAAGGACCATAATAAGCTGCAAAAGATTACATGAGGTGTATTTACTAGAACTGTTTTCTTTCTTGCTTCTTACCATGTATGATTGTGATAGGAAGGATGTGGTTCTTCAGTTCCTTCACTTCTTCAAGACTTTCATGGGAAGCCATCATCTGGGCTATTTGAATTAGAGCTGTTGCTTGATCCTCATTTAACTTGTGTACCTGAATTAACTCATGAGCTAACTGCAATGATGCTCCTTGGCTGAGTAGTTGAAATTTTGTGTTGATATGTGCAAATGCTGGTGGGATAAATTTTCTCTTACTGACTCTCTTGTTGCTAAGTGTGGTTGATGGAGACCTAGTAAAAGAGCAGCAAATAAAATCAAAGAAAACTAGAGATTTTTAAAATAAGTGACATGTATCTACTCATAACTTAGCCTTCAGTTTATACAAATCAGAGAAGAGCATTTTATTATAGGAACAAATGGATACATATCCCAATGTGAAGGAGACTGGAAGAGAAATAACATTTGTTCAGTATCTACGATGTGCTGGCACAGTGTTAAACATTTTATATATTAATTAATATAATATTGATAGTAATACCAGGAAATAACCATACCAAATAGAGATACATAATATTAATTTTCCCCCCAAAAACCATACCATTATTAAGAACTGGACTGGATGGGGGTAGATAGGAGGGGGGCTGGTGCTGTGGTGAAGCAGATAAAGCCACCGCCTGCAGTGCCGGCATCCCATATGGGTGCCAATTTGAGTCCAGGCTGCTCCACTTCTGATTCAGCTCTCTGCTATGGCCTGGGACAGCAGTAGAAGATGGCCCAAGTCCTTGGGCCCCTGCGCCTGCATGGGAGACCTGGAAGAAGCTCTTGGCTCCTGGCCTCAGATCAGCACAGCTCCGGCCGTAGCAGCCATCTGGGGAGAGTGAACCAGCAGATGGAAAACTTTTCTCTCTCTCTCTGCCTCTCTGTAGCTCTTTCAAATAAACAAATAAATCTTAAAAAAAAAAAAAAAAGATAGAAGAAGAAGTGGACTAGGGTCAGTGCTATGGTACAGTGGGTTAAGCCACTGCTTGCAGCACTGGCATCCCATATGGGCACCAGTTAAAGTGTTCCACTTCTGATACAGCTTCCTGCTAATGCACCTGGGAAAAGAGTAAAAATGGCCCAAGTTCTTGGGTCCCTGAACCCAAATATCTGGGAGACCAAGATGGTTTTCAGGGCTCCTTGTTCTGTCCTGGCCCAGCCCTGGCTGTTATAGCCACTTGAGGAATAAACCAATGGATGGAAGATCTGTTTCCCTCTCTGCCTCCACCTCTGTCTCTGGAACTCTACCTTTTAAATAATGAAATAAATCTTTAAAAAAAAAAAAAAAAGAAGTAGACTGACTTAGATAATCAATGCAATCTTTATTTCAGAAAAACTGCAATAAATATATTGTTTTATTTCCACTTCTAAAAAGGTTAAATCCATTTCAGACTGTATAAACATATAAAGGAATAATAAGGCTATTTATTTATTGTAACTGGAATTTCATTGTGCTGAAATACATAATATAGATAACATTCTAAATTGGAAAACAAATTTTTTCTATCAATTATTACCCTCAATGTACTATCACTTCCTACTTTTAAAAAGGGGACCCCTGGTGCTTAAGAAATTAAAAATAAGATGCTGCCATTATGGAACAGCTGGTTAGGCTGTTGCTCGTGACACCAGTATCCCATATTGGAATGCTGGTTCAAATGCTGGCTGCTCTACTTCTAATCCAGCTTCCTGCTAAACATGCCTGGGAGGTGGCAGATGATGGCTCAAGTAATTGGACCCCTGCCACCCATGTGGCAGAGAGACTCAGATGGATTTCCTAGCTGCTGGCTTTGACCTAGCCCAGTCTCGGCTATTGTACCATTTGGGGATGAAGCCAGCAGATAGAAGATCTCTTTCTCCCTTTCACTCTCCCTCTCTCTCTCTGATGCTCAGCTTTTCATATAAAAATAAATAAATATTTCTTAAAAAAAGAAATTAAAAGATATGGGCAATTTAAAGAATAAAATTAGTATTAATAAACACAGTGAATTCAACCTATATTTTTCTTCCAATGTTAATATGAAGTACAAAAACTCAAAAGATGAATAAAACAATAAAATCAAAACTGAAACGATCATTAAGAAATTAACCCTTGAGAAGTAGAAAAAAATTAAAGTAATATAATAAATAATGAATAGATGGGTGGATGACACGATGAATATTTCCCATTCTCTTTTTAATTGCTGATATAGTAATCTCATATTCTGAAAGATAATTATAGTTGCACACTCATACTCACTTTTAGTTACCATTTTTAATACTAATGAGCCAAAGGTAAATGATGACTTACATTGTTAACAGGTACTGCGTTAGAGGTAGAGTAGCTGGATTAAAGTAGTCTTGAATGTTTTTCAAAGTGGTCAGCTCAGTGCTAGCATTACAGACCAATAATGCATGGACCATAACTGTGAATAGAATGCAGGAAGCTCACATTTGAATGTAAATAAAATGGACCATGAAAACTACGCCTCAAATAGCCATATATGTGAGAGTTCAGTTACTGAATGAATCACATGACATAAATCCATAGGTAAATGCATAGGTCCTCAAACTTTTACCCATTAAATTTCTATCCTACCTGCTCATTCACTTTATATATGGATACCCAAAAATTGTAAAACTTAAATAAAATTTGTAAAGGCAGTTGCCTTTACTCAGCACACCATTTGTGCTGTATAATGGTATTTGTGTAATTTTCATCTGCTTACATTTCTTTCTCAATTATTTTATAGAAGTATATAGAAAACTATAAAGCAAATGGTGATGGAACTGCAACAAAAATGAAAACAGTCACATAAAAAGTAACAAATATATACTTAACTAGGCTCTTATTGGACTTGTAAGGTTGGCTGACTTGCTTTGCTCATTAAGAAAGAAAAAAATTAAAAGGTAAAAACACTCATACTAAAAATCTGTCAAGAAATACTGTATATTTAATTAGGTATAGGTGAAATTTAACCATCAGAAATAATTATGGAGATTGAAACGTATACAGAAATCTGTAGATTCATAGAACTAAACAGCAAATTCAGCTTACTAAAGGTTTCTTTATTAAAAAAAAAAAAAAAAAGAAAGAAAAAAGGCTGGAAGTATACTGTCTTACAAAGAATTTCTCAAGACAGATGATAAGGTATTCTTAAACCAAAAATCAAACCTGCCTGTTCAACCCCTTACAAAATCTCTTGTAAAATCTGCAAGACCTTCTTAATGTGATAGCAAACTGTTTATTAAATGTACAACAAATTAAGGGAATTAGAACTGAATATAAAAATTGTTTTAGAAAATTCTAATTTTTATGTTTAATGTTTATATTTTTTAAATTCTGTTATATACTGTGTAAAATTCAACTTCAACAAAAATGTAAGTGGTGGTTCAAGATTTCATTATACTGTCAGTCTTATGGGACATGAGCTGCAGAAATCTTTATATATTTAACTCATATACACATTTTCAGAAGCATATGGAACGTAAGAGTAGGAATTAGAGGTGGGTGCTTTTTGTTGGGTTTAATCTAACAATCTCATATGCAGCATTCTTGCTGAAAGTGCATCCTATGTTTATCATTCTTTTTAAAATATAAATTAAGCCCAGGACAGGCAGGGCCTGTGCTATGCTCCTCATAAGCAGGAAGCAGCTACAGAAGATAATGATGATTCTACACCCTCAACAGCCCTTAGGATTAAGGGAATGGGGTCTTTTGAGGGGGGAATGATGTAGGTAGGCAGTCAAGATAAATTCGATTAGATTTGTGAGCTGGAAGACCACACCTTCACCACGCCCTCTGGGTGATCTCATCTCCTTACTTGACCCCACCTGTATGCCACCTGCCAATCAGGCTACATAACCACTTCCCGTTGGAAGTGGATAAAAGGCCTGGAACATGGTGGGCCTGGCCTTTTTTTCACCATTATTACCCTTTGCTGCTTATGCCTTCAGGCCGCCCGCTCCCTGCTTTCTTGCTTGCATGCTTGCTGCACATAACTGGCTCCTGGCCAGCTCTCTGCTTGGTATGGACTCCAACTTAGTCTCTGGACTTTTCTTTCTCCCTTAGATAGAGCCCCCACTCTCCCATGCATTTCTCTCACTGAATAAAATCCTTAAAACTTAAAAAAAGTGTGTGTGTGTATATATATATATATATATATATATATACATACATATATATAAATTAAGATGGACATGGCAATACTTACTGTTAGTGGGCCAATTGGAAGGGAAATAGCCTTTCAAAGGCAGTAGCTCAATCTCATTGAGAGATGATGGTCCAAAGAAAGCACTACATGCAATGAAGGTATCCAGCTCAAAGTCGAGGGTTTTTGAAACTACCCAAAGGTCATCTAAAAAGACAAACATTTTTTTTCGTTTTACTGATGTGTGATTGACAAAAAAAAAAAAATTGTGTATATTTATGAGTAAGGTATACAACATGGTCCTTTTAAAAAAATTTATTTAGTATTATGATCAAATTATTATTACAATTAGCAATCAACAACATGAATACGAAAAAAAATAATATTAGACATACACAAATACTGTCTAAAACAAGTCTTTGTAGCAGTTAGGCCCTGCCACCACTGTGTTTGGCTGAATTCACAAAACTGTTGTAGTCTGTAGCTTCCCTGTCACTTTGGCTCTCCTCTACCAGGTTTTATTTCCTGGCAATTATTAAAACTTTCTGTTACTGCTACTGCTAGACTGGTCATAGCCACCTTGATTTCACAGTTTGGCAAAACACTGGCCTCTACCGCCATAGAAATACAGCTTCGCCTTCCAAAGTTGCCTCCCTTCATGGGTCTGAAATGTAAAGCTCAATGGTTGTAACTGCCAAAATCACCATAACTTCCACTGCCTCCAAAACTGACTCCATCGTTACCAAGTCCATTGCAGTCATCCCCATTACCACTATATCCTCCACCACCTCGGTTACTGCCAAAGTCACCACAACTATAGACGTTTCCTCCACAACCAAACTTGTCATCACCACCAAAATAACCTCCTCCACAAGCACCACCGAAGTTTTCAGAACCACTGCAAACTCTGTGTGGACAAAGCACTAACCATCTCTTGCTTCAATGGAGTTTTCCTTAAGTCACAGTCAGAACTTTTCACAGTATGGTATGGATAATGACCTTTTTTAAAAAAAAATATTATTTACTTATTTGAAAGGCAGAGTTACGGAGAGGCAGAGAGAGAGAGAGAGAGAGAGAGAGAGAGAGAGAGAGAAACAGAGAGAGAATAGTCTTCCATCCGCTGGTTCACTCCTCAAATGACTGCAATGGCAAGAGCTACATCAATCTGAAGCCAGGAGCCAGGAGCTTCTTCCAGGTCCCCCATGTAGGTACAGGTGCCCAAGAACCTGGGCCATCTTCCACTGCTTTTCCAGGCCATAGCAGAGAGCTGGATTGGAAGAGGAGCAGCCGGGACTCGAATCAGTGCCCATATGGAATGCCGGCACTGCAGATGCAGCTTCACCCGCTACGCCACAGTGGCAGCCCCATGGATAACAATCTTAACCACAGAGTCACAGTAGTTAAAGAACACAAAAGCAAAGCCTCTCTTCTTGCCAATGCCTTGGTCAGTCATGATCTCAATCATTTCGGTTTTTCCCATATGGCTCAAAATAATCTCTGAGCTGCTGTTCTCCAGTGAGGTTTGGTAAATTTTTAAAAAATTTATTTTATTTACTTGAAAGGCAGAGTTACAGAGAGAAAGAGAAGCCAGTGAGGAAGGGAGGGAGGAAGGGAAACAGAGTCATCTTCCATTCACTGGTTCACTCCTCAAGTGGCTGTAACATCCAGGGCTGAGCCAGGCCAAAGCCAAGAGCCTGGAACCCCATCCTGGTCTCCCACGTAAGTGGCAGGGGCCCAAGGAGTTGCGCCATTTTCTGCTGCTTTCCCAGGCATATTAGCAGGGAGCTGGATCAGGAGCAGAGCAGGGACTCAAACTAGTACCCATATGAGATATCAGCATTCTAGGTGGTGGCTTAAGCAGTTGTGCCACAGCCCTGGCCTCTCTTCAGTGGGTTCTGTAATATCACTAACATCTGCTTCACAATTAGGTGGGCCTCCTGGTCTTTGAGACTCCTGAGTCAGCCTTCTTATGTTTCATAACTCTTCTATCCACCTTGTGCGGCCTTGCTTTTATGACTGCATCACATCCCTGATGGCCCAGGGGACAAACCCAAAGCCCCTTGAGTGCTGGCTGTTTAAATCTCTCATCACTTCACAGTCCTTGAGTAAACCCCATTATGCAAAATGGTTGCACAGATTCTCCTCAGTTGTTTCAAAGCTCATCTCTCTGAGGAAGAGCTTCTACAGCCATTCGACCTCTTTAGGAGACTGAGTTAATGATTCTCACAATCAAAATACCTAATATACCTGCCATGATAGTTATCTTTTTGTGTGTTATGTAGTGAGAACACGTAAGATCTACTCCCTTAGCAAATTTTAAGTAGAAATTATTATTAACTATATTTAATGTGCTGTATATTAGATATTCCTCTTTTAACTAAACATTTGTACTTTTTATTTGCAGCTCCCCATTTCATGCACCCCCACAGTCCCTGGCAACCACCATCCTCCTCTCTGTTTCTCTGTTTGACTATTATAGATTCCACATATTCAAAGGTACTTTCAGAATTTCATGAAAAAATAGAATTAAAAGATATGTTTATTTGGTGCAAAATATAATAAAGTCCATACATATTCTTTTCATAATATAAATTTTTCATGAACTTTTTGAAGGTGCCCTCATTTGTGATATCATGCATTATTTGTCTATGTATGGCTTATTTCACTTAACAAAATATCCTCCAAGTTCATTCATGTTGTTGCAAATGAAAAAATTTCTTTCTCTCTCTCTTTTTTTTTTTTTTTTTGAGATTTCTTTATTTATTTGAAAGACAGTGTTACAGAGAGGCAGAAGCAGAGAGAGAGAGAGAAGTCTTCTATCTGCTGATTCACTCCCCAGATGGTCGCAATGGCTGCAGCTGTGCCAATCCAAAGCCAGGAGCCAGGAGCCTCTTCCAGGTGTCCCACACAGGTGCAGGGGCCCAAGGACTTGGGCCATCTTCTACTGCTTTTCCAGGCCACAGCAGAGAGCTCGATCAAAAGTGAAGCAGCCAGGACTCGAACTGGCGCCCACATGAGATGCCAGCACTACAGGCACGGCTTTACTCACTATGCCACAGCACCGGTCTCCTTCTCTTTAAATGTTGAATATTCCATTATGTGTGAATGCATGTATTTGTGTGTTTATCATTATTTCTTTATCCACTCATCCACTGAAGGACATTTAAGTTGTTTCTATATCTTGGTTATTTTGAGTAATGCTCTTGGAATGCAGATAAACTTCTTTAAGATAGTGATTTCATTTCCTTTGGATATATACTCAAAAGAGCGATTGCTGGGTTATATGGTCGTTCTATTTTTAGTTTTTGATAAAAGTGCTATACTGTGCCAATTTACATTCTCATCAACAGTGTACAAGCATTTCATTTTTTCCATATTCTTACTTGCTATTTTGTCTTTTTGATATTAGCCATCTAACAGGTTTCAGGTGGTTTTGATTTGCACTTCATTGATGATTAGCGATGTTGAGTATGCCTTTATGTACATGTTAGTCATCTGTAGCTCTTCTTTGAGAAAATGTTCATTGAGGTCCTTTGTGCATTTCTAAACTATGTTATTTGTTTTCTTACTATTGATTTATTTGAGTTTCTTATATATTTTGCATATTAACCCCTATCAGATAAATGGTTTGTAGATAGTTCCTTCCATTCTGTAGGCTGCCTTTTCACACTCTGTTGTTTCCTTTGCTATGCAGAAGCTTTTTAGTTTGATAAATCCTATTTGTCTATTTTGCTTTTTCTTCTTTTAAAGATTTTTTTAATTTGAAAATCCATAGAGAGGAGAGAGGATTGGGGAGTGAGAGATCATCCATCAGCTAGTTCACTCTCCAAAAAGCTGGAATGGCTGAGGCTGGGCCAGGCCAAAGCCAGGAGCCAGGAGCTTCCTGCAGGTCTTCCATTGGGGTGGCAGGAGTCCAAGGACTTGGGCCATCTTCCACCACTTTCCCAGGCACATTAGCAGGGAGCTGGATTGGAAGTGGAGCAGCAGGACTTAAACCCATATGGAATAACAGCACTGCAGGAGGCAGCTTAACCTTCTACACCACATCACTGTCCCAAATTTTTTAAGTTATATTTACTTTTGTTGCCCATGTTTTTAGGTTTATATCCAAAAATTCCTTGCCCATAAGACTACTGTCTTAGTCTGTTCAGGCTGCTACAACAACATACCTTATACTGGTGTACTTCATAAATAATAGAATTTTATTTCTCATGGTTATAGAAGCTAGGATGTCCAAGGAACTAGCAGATCTAGAGTCCAGTGATGGTCTACTCCTGCCTCATACCTGGAACTTCTTGCTGTGTCTTCATTTGGCAGATGAGGCAGAAGCTGGGTCCTCACATAACTGAAGGATCCAAAGGCACTAGGGAGTTCCCTTCAATTCCTTTAATAAGGTCACTAATCCCATGCATGACGGCAGAACCCTGGTGATATAATCACCTCCTAAATATTTCATACTCTCATATTGTAATTATGTTTTAACATATGAATTTTGGAGGGTGGAGGTCAAGACATTCAGACCATAGTAACTGTCAACTATGCTGCAAAAGATTAGTATTGGACTCAGTCCAGGCTTAAAAAAAAATTACCAGGGCTGGCGCTGTGGCGCAGATTAATCCTCCGCCTGCAGCGCAGGCATCCCATATGGGTGCCGGTTCTAGTCCCGGATGCCTCTCTTCCAATTCAGCTCTCTGCTATGGCCCAGGAGAGTAGTAGAAGATGGCCCAAGTGCTTGGCCCCCTGTACCCACGTGGGAGACGGGGCTTCGGATAGGCGCAGCGCCAGCTGTAGTGGCCATTTGGGGAGTGAACCAATGGAAGAAGACCTTTCTCTCTGTCTCTCTCACTGTCTGTAACTCTACCTGTCAAATAAATTAAAAAAAAAAAATAAGAACAACTTCCTGCATAGAAGTTTCCGCAAGAGGCTACATTACACATTTTTTTTTCCTGAATTAGTACCACAACTCAAACATTTCCCAAAAATGTTCAATGAAATTTTTGAATAAAAAACAAATTCTAAAGGCTTCCTGGTTCTAGTTCCAACAAAGATGATAAATTAGTTTGAGCAGTGGGCCCCTTCCTAGAGGAAACAGAAAAAGAAGCAGAGAAAACTACAGAAACTGTCTGGAGTAAGAGGGGCTGTTTTGAATCGGAGTGTCTGAGCCTAGAGTGGTTTTGGTCCAGGGTAGAAGGCAGCCTGGGGAGGGC